AATTGTCCGTAGGTGTGAATGTGAGTGTGCTTGGTTGTCTGTCTCTAAGTGTAGCCCTGTGATAGACTGGTTACCTGTCCAGGTGAACCTGCCTAGCGTGCTCCTCTCAAATGATCTTCAGTTTATGTGGTGATTGTAGCAAATTGGGATTAAATTATCATATTAAGTAAATACATACACAACTTGATCTATTGCTGACTTTTGTTTTCTGTTTAGATAATATCAAATACATTCCTGTAATGACTGAAACTGTCTCATAAATAAGCATAGTCATATATATATAAAGTTATACATACTGTCCTTATGGTGTCCAATAATTCTCAGATGTGTGTGCAGACTAGCGTGTGACCCAGATGATAAAGCGTCCATCTGGGGCTTCTGTAAATTGGGTTTCGAGGCCTCCATTTGAACAGCCCTCTTATCTGCCTTCATGCTGGACGGAAAGTGATTTTTTTTCTCTGACTAAAATCGACACAGCTATTGGTGACAGCGTTGGGTTGCTATTAAACAGACAATAAAACAGAGAGCCTTCTTCCGCTAAACACATTAATGTTTCCTCTTTCCAGCCGATAAAAGGCCGAGTGAAGGCAGATACGAGGCCTCTTCTCCAGGAACCGTGGTGGGACTAAATGACCGTGTCCCGAGCCAACCGCGCTATTACAACGTCATGTGTTTGTTTAAAGTGTTTATGAGCCAGCGAGGTGGCACCCGGACGGGACGCTGTGTAATATACAGCTGGAAATATTGACCCCAGATATGTTTGCTTGTTGGTTGTTTAGTGTGACAGAATTGTTTAATAATGTGGTGGGGTTCTGTGTTAGATATGAGCTGTGTGACCAAAGCTTTTGGGAGGGATGACTGACTTTTCTCATAAATATGTGATTCGGAACGTAAACTGTGGCACAAGCAAGATTATAAGAGTGTCAGACTGCAGTGTGTTTACATGCAATTCACAACAATATCACCTAAATGTCCGACGGTTGCAAGTTATATCTCCTCCAAAAAGCACCCATTTTAAAAAGACAGACCCTGCAGTCGTTGCAAGATGGGATGTGCTGCTCTGCCTTTAAAATCTGAGGCGACATGCTTGCCCAAGTCATATTTTTCCCTCTTGTCCTCTGGTTTGATTTTGGCCGTGTGCTCTGGATGCTCATCACGCTGGAATCTTGTTGTTCTGTCAGGATTCTGCAGACCGCCCAGTACTGCGGTATATCCACTGGCTTTCATGCTGCCGTCTGTCGTCTCCTCAACACCTTTTCAACTCGTGCAGCCTCATGTCATCCCACTAGTCAGGACTATGCATGTATTCACTGTGGTCGTCCTGACTCACTTATCTTTTAGGGGGCCTGCATTTCAATGTATTTGTTTCTGATTGTTGATCATAGTGAATCAACTGACCGTCTGACATTATAACCCTTAGAGCTTTGCTGCTAACATCCACAGTCTTTCATTTTTAAAAAGATCAAGCTACTTTCCTACAACAGTAGTGCTGGAGCAGACATTTGTCAGGTTCTTTTTTACTGTAAATGGAAATTACTGAATACAAACTACGGTACCAACGCATTAGCAACTGAGTCAACACTGGGGGCACCAGGTCTGGAGGTCACCCCAGACAAAGATCTTAAAAACATAGTTAATGCCATTCTAGTACATATAAAACATGTATGATTACCTTTTATTCATTTTCCAGTTTTTGTCTATACAGCCCTGATTAATTGGTGCCCCGTCAACGACTGAGAGGAACATGAACCCATCCTGACTTCATGCATGTGGAATATGCTCAGGACACATGAACGTCCTGTTGGCTAAAGCATGGAACGTA